TTGTATTACAAAAAATATATATATACATATGTAGACATAAAGTCCATTATTATTAAAATACAATATATACGTTAATGCAATATATGTTATATATTTTATAATATATATATTATTTTATAACATGTTATATATTTATAAAATAGTATATATGTGAATATAAAGAAGTAGTAAGTACGATATATTAAAATATGTATACTTACATGTGTAGTAAATAAATACTTTTTTAACTAAATATTTATATAGTTAAAAATATGTGGACAAATTTGATGTCCACGTAAAAATTTTTCAGCATTTCTGGCAAATTTGTATATGTTCTCTTAAATCTTAAAATCCGCAAAACCATTTAATAACCAATGACCTATTAATGAACTACTTAACAATTCAAGCGACTACTGTGTTATTATTGTTTTGAAAATATTTTATCTATATAAATTCAAAGCGAAATCACATCATTAATTTTTGTTTATTATATTATTATTTTTTTTTTTATAATATTTTTTTTTTGAAATAGAATTAAAAAAATATTTCTATGCAATAGGAATATCTTTAGCTTTATTGTGCTGCATCTCGAAAACTTATGTACAATGAGAGAGAAGTTAAAAAAATTATGGCAATAAAAAGTAATAACATAATGTAAAGTTATTGTTTATGCAATGGCATAATCGTTTAAAGAGAACTGCTTCATTTTGTATATTAAAATTCTGCATCATTTTTCCTTATGCAAATATATGCCATGCCATGATATGGGGAAAGTAAATATTTATTTAAAATACTTAAAATACTTTAAGTTGCACATTAAATGTTGCATGAAAAAATATAAAATATAAATATAAAAAACACGCTAACAAAACAACGCATTATAATAGCGCGTGGAAGAACTGAAACATGCATTAAATACTTTTGCTGCTGTCGGAAAATATTTTTGTGAAAACAAAGTGGAATAATATGTGCAGAGGAGCAGAGGAACAAGAGGAGAATGCACTGAACATTCCATTTAGAATAAAAAAGAAAAAAGCGAAATTCGCTAGTAAAAAATAAATACAATATACATATTTTCAAGGTTTTCTCTGGAGAGAAATGCAAGGCACATGTTTGCAGCCAATGCTGAGGTATTGCTGTTGTTGCCGTCATTTGCGCTGCTTGGTGTGCCTGCAGATGATGTTACCATTGTACCACTTAATGCTTGTTGGTACGTTCCTTATTGTTGTTATTTTGTTGTTGTTGTTGTTGTTATTGTTATTATTGCTACTGTTGCTTTAGCGCTAACAGAGCTAAAAGATTTAGGTTATGTGGTGCACCATGAGGTCCATTCAATTGTTGTTGCAACCACAAGTAAAGCGTAGGAGGCTTTTATGGCAACATAGACATTTTTATATGTTATTGCCATATTTTGCTCCTTCTGCACTCAACATCATTTGTGTTACAATAAAATTACTATAAGTATTTATGACAATGCACTACCTAAGCTACAGTTGTGCTGGTTCTAATAAAACCCTTACTTACAAAAATATAGCTAAAGTTAATGTTTACGTTAGCATTGACGTTGGCGTTGGCGTTGGTGTTAACGTTGACGTTGACGTCAGCATTAGAGTTGGCGTAGGAGCAGTAGCAGACGCTACTGGTGATGACGATAATAATGATAATGTTAGCATCGCATTGCATCGCATCAGCGCAATGCATGCTCAGTAAGATGCAATACCCGCAGGATTTCGTAACTAAAATGTCAGTAGCACATCAACAGGATCTCTGTATTGGAATGAGTATCATTTGTACGTTTTCATTTCTGTTAGGTTTGAAGATAGCATCATAAATGCACTACAACTGCACTGAGTTGTGGTGTGGTATGGTGTGGTGTGGTGTAGTGGAATCTGCATTTGTGATTACTGCAGCATATTACATTTAAGCGGAAAAGATGAAAACGTAAAAGACTATAAACAACTGCAGCATATTGTGGTAGAACTGTATATCTTCCATGGAGGTAAGCCCTCATTCTTTTGGTTGGCAAAAATGTGATAAAAGCGTGGCATTCCTAACACATTCTCCCTTCGTGCCTCATTCAACTATTTAAATACTTATTTTCTATTTGTTGCGCTTAAGCTTATTTTCTTGCTGTTTTCGCTGTTTACGCTGTTGTCGTTCCCACAGCCACACTCACATTCCTATTTGCTGCTGCTGATGCTACTGCTGCTGTTGTTATTGCTTTTGTATGATAGTTGTTTTCTTTGTTTTTTGTTGTTTTTTTTTTGTTTTTCTGTTGTTGTCATATTCCTTTGTGAAAGTACATGTGCTTTTGTAAAAAAGTATTTACTAAATTTCTTAAGAGCTTTTGTGTGCCAGTGTGTACGTATGTACGTATGTACGTATGTACGTGTGTTCAGTTATTTATTGAAAATTTTTGTGAATGCATGTGTGCGTGTGTATGAGTATGCATATTGTTCTCGTTTCCGTACAATTGATATCCGATTTTCGTTGTTCATTTGAGTTCAATGATGCCATTGTGGCGGCTTTTGCGTTTTTATGACATTTGCATTTTGCGCTTATTTACTGCATTATTTTGCTCTTTTCGAGGTTTCGAGTTTTAAATTTCATTTTTTATTTGTTGATATTTCGTACATTTTTCAACTCATTTATTTTTCTGGATTAAATTTTTTATTATTATTATTACCATACCCATTTGAATATTTGCTGTGTGAGCCTTCCTAATTAGGGCTCTAAGCTGCTTATGTTAAGTGGATGTTATTTTTGCGTTACTCAAATCCCGAAATGTGTGCCACATTTTTGCATAGTTATTTTCTTCTCTTCATTAATTTAAATATGTTTTTATTCTTGTACTCATTTTTTTTTATATTATTTATTATTGCATTTCTATGGTCTTTTTCAACTTTCACATTTTCGTGTTTTAAGTGGATTTACTTTAAGTATCCACAAAAAAAATTTTAAAAATATTTGTAATATACTTAATAAAATTATGTCAGTAAATATTAAATATTATATATTAAATTTTATGAAATTAATATTTTAAAGAAATTATATATTTAGAGGGTTTCGAATACCAAAAAGCAAGAAAGACTATAAATTAATTTAGAAATTCGAATATTTCCTAAGGCCACTGATGATGAGTACTTGGCAACACTCGAAACGGTGTTGTATGGTCAACCCAATTTCTATAAATTAACTAAATTTTTGTGCTCGTTCTTTCTTTCTTTGCTATTCGAAACCCTCCAAATTTTAAAAAAAAGCTTCTAAAAACTAATTGAACTTTAAAAATTTTTATATATTTTTAATTTAAATTTCTGTAAATATTATATACTATATGTCAAATTTTATGAAATTAATATTTTAAATAATTTATTTTAAATAAAACTTTTATATAATTTTACCTTAAATGTTTGTAAATATTAATTATAATATGTTACATTTTATAACATTAATATTTAAAAAAGCGTTTTATTTTAAATACAATTTTTATATACATATTTATAATTCAAATTTCAGCAAATATTAAATATTATTTTATTAAAGTTAATGAAACTAATATTTTAAAACAATTTTCTATAAATACTATTTTTGTAAATTTATAATTTAAATTTAAAAGTAAGATATAATTAAGTAAACTATGTTTCGGTAGATACTTTTACAGAATATTTAAATAGTCAGATCCATAATCCTGTAAAAAGAAAAGCGGCCATTCATGTTTTTTGTTCACTTTTATTTAAATTTTAATTTAAAATTTTTATATAATTTAACATTTTTTTTAATTTTAAATAAGATCGTTTACATAGCTCATTAGTAATATGAAGCGATATAAAATTTTTTTTAATGAAATATTTGCAGCAAAATTCTATGCAGTTAATTTCATGAAAAACATTTCAATAGTCCTACAAAAAATGTTGCCTAAAGCAACCATGAAATATTAACACTTCATTAGAATTGGCAATATTTAAGTACAAAAACTAAAAACTAAATAATAATCGGTTCATTAAAATAATAATATAAATTAGAATTAAAATTAAGAGTATAAAATATTCATTAGATATAAAAAGATTAATGATGTGGTAAAATGTTTTTTTTTTTTAAATTAACGTATGATATATGAGTAGTATCCCACATTAACATAAAATGTTCATTTTTAAGATATTCTTTAAAAAAGATTTTTGATTTTATTTAATATTCAATATCATAATATATAACATATATAGAGTATATTAAGTCCCTTCTTTAAAAACATTGCTATTAAGTAAAACTCATAAAAAGCCACCACAGCAAATTTTAATACACTTTAGTCAAGTTGATTGAAAAAATTTGTCAAATTCTTAGTTTTTCATTTTTTTGTAAATTGCTTACTGGTCATATAACATATAGATATAATTAACATAATTAAGATATAATGTTAATTAAAAATTTTAAGTTGAATCCTCTGTTTTAGAATTTTTCGGGAAGAGAAATTAATTATGGAGCGCAATGGATTAATGGATCAAGTTTTTTTATTTATTGATATTTTCCATCATTAATCGAACGAAAAATTTTATTTAAGGGTAAAACAGTTGTTTACTAGAATATTATTGACCCATGTTATACTTGAGCCAGTTTTTATAACAGTTTTCGCACAGTTTACTGCATTTATTGAACTGAAATCTTAGTCATGCTTTGATGCTATTGAAACGGTGATAAAATTGATACATGCACAATACTTTTCTTCGGTAATTTTTAGATCATTTTTACTTTACAAATTCTTTCCTTTGATTTTCTCCACACACACAACCAAATAGAATTCATGGCTACGAATTTTTATGCCACAGAATTCATCAAGTGTAGCAACCATCAAAAATTATAATAAAAAGTTATAATAAATCCTCAAAAATAAATTCGAAAATTTTTTTATTCACACTTTAATTATTTATCTTATCTTTTAAACTTAAAACAGCCATATTCATTATTCTATTTTTTATAATTTAAAATATAAAATATTTATTAATGTTTTTCTGATTTTTTAATTAAAGGCTGATATCTCCTGTCGGAATACAAAACAAACCGTCAGTTCCATACTTACTCGCACCAATTTTGTCACACTCAAATATGTCACTGATAATTGGGGCACAGACACGACAGGATTCAAATTGGTAATAACATCAGTAAAAGATCCAAGTGAGTATTACAAATATTAAAGCTACAATGTAGTATTCTATAATTACTTATATATCCATTTTTATAGAACACACCTGTAAAGATTTTACTTGCGCCACTCGCGAGTTTTGTATTAATCCAGATTTACTCTGTGATGGCATTAATCATTGCGGGGATAATTCCGACGAATCAGTACATAATTTATGTCAAAGTATGTATTAATACTCTGTACTATTTACTACATGAAAGAGCTAGAAATTCTTACCTGTCCTAATTTGTTACCCTTATTATTTATTTTTGTTTAAATTAATTAATACAAGTATATAATAATTATATATAACAATTTCCTCTTTAGAATAAAAAAATTACATTTTTTACCACTTTGTTTGTTCAATATTTTCTGCAAATTTATTAATTTTATTTATATTAATACATCTAGTTTTTAAAGCGTTATCAATTTTTATCTATATTCAATATAATGAATTTTTTAAGTTTTATTACTATATTCAAAAAAAAAATGTATATATATATATATATATATTAATTGCAGGTGAATCCACAAGCACAATCTTTGGTGTTGATATGACGTGGTTTGTGCTGATTGTCGTCACCATTGTTTTGATACTGTCCGCGGTCATTGTTGGAATATCAATTTGTTTCTGTCGAAGGCAGGAAGACGCAAACCTTAATCAAAATACTACAATGCAAAGTAATAATCTTTTTATGGGAACGTAAATATTTTATTAAGAATTAAATTTTAATTATAGTGCATCACACAGCCGAAACAAATGGCTCATCAAAGCATTTACACTACCATCATGGCGGTACATTGTCACGAGAGCATACGCAACTACCGCCTCAAACGTCGGGAAACTGGCTTCACCCTGCGGGACCATCAGGGTACCTCCGCATTCAACACTTATTGAAGATGGCCACCAAAGTCCGTCCCATTTGGTGCTTGGCAAATTCCGTCAATTAGGTCAAGATCTTTCACAAAACGCTGGCGTCATTGGCGTCGTTAACCACACGAACGTTAATCCAAATGCAGCCGTCGGCACTGCACAAAAGGACGAATGGTTCGTTTAAAACGCGACGTGTTATACAAAATGGCGCGTATTCGTTCGTTTGTTCGTTCATTCGTTTTTCTTGCGTTCGAAACATTTTTTCAATTAGAAACAAAAAAGTGAAAGTTTGACTTGGAAATAATATTTAATTATAATATTAAACAAAAAATACATTTTTTAGTATAACGAACAAAGGCATGCGACACATTAAATTCAATTGTTTTTTTTTCAAAATTTTAAAATTTAAATTCGCTCCTGTTCTGTAGACTGTGTTTGCATGGATTTGTGCACGTTAAAAAATATTGAAGAAGAAAACATTTTTAGAAAACATCAGCAACTAAAAAATTTTTTTTTGTTTAAAAGGATATTTGCATAGCATTAAATGAAGTGAGTACATATAATTTATAAATATATTATTATTAGTTTGTAATGATACATTAAAATTTTTTACATCAAAATTTATTTTGATTTTTTTATATTGATTTTTATAATTAATATCTGAAGCTATTAAAATGTTGCTCATATTTTTTAATAGGTAATAAAACTATTAATGAAATTAATTTAAATTCATATTGACAAAAATCCAAGTTTTTACAAAAATACTTTTAAAGCAATAAAAAAGAAAAATTGAAACAAATTAAAGAACAGAAAAAAGGAAACCTCCATAAAATTTAAGTGTTTGGCTAATCATTTTTGTGAAGTATTGATTTAATTTAATATTTAAACACACAGTTGCGCCTAAATTGAATCATTTTATCTATAGCTCTAAACATCAATTTAGATCATCGTATACTTGATCGAATATCTTTTATTAAAAGCCAAGAAGGGTGACCAATTAACCTAAACAATCTATGCTTATATTGTAATATATATCATTGTTTCACATACAAGTCGACAATAAATTGACTTTATTGCTCCAATTTGGCTAAAATATTGTTAATAAGCTTTTCTAATAAAATACAAAAACTCGTATTTTGGCAAAAAATTTTAGATTTTATTCTTACCTTTAAATGGCTTTTTGGATGGTTACTGCATCCATAAAATATCCATTTTTCTATTGATAAGTGCACACCGACGCAAAGGAAGAAGCCAATAAGTAGTTGACTTCAATGGTTAAACTTAATAATCTTAAGTTTATTTTCAAACGCACTTCACTCTAAATTTGAAATAAATTCATTCTCTGAAAATTAAAGATTTTATAGATTGCTACAAACAATATACATATAATAGTTTAGTAGGTATGATATGTAGATCAGCACAGTGTTTTTTAGACAGAAGTTATCAATATCCAACTTTAAATTAAATGATTTCGAATAATAATAATATATTTGGTAGAAATGTTAAGTTTTAGTAACAACCAACAGCAATCATATTTCAGTTTGGTTTTTTTAAATAGAATATAAGTTTTTATTAAAAAAAGCGTACATTATTGAGAGCAATATAGGCAATAGTTAGTCTAAATTGGGTTCTGAGTGATGCGGTAGTTTTTGAGAATTTAATTTACCTAAAGTGACATATATGGTAGTATCAGCTATACATTCAGAATATTTTAAAGTAGGTTATTAGAGATGTTAGGAAGAGCACTTTACAATGACTGCAATAGGTCAATACCCTTTGGTAAACTATCCAAAACAACACATATTAATGATTACCCACAATGGTCTTCCGCTTATGACCATTATGGGTCACATGTGTTATATGGCTTAAATAAAATGTGCTACTAAGAACTTTGTGATAACTGTGGTATCACAATGGGCTGACTTCTAGGTTATGAATAGATCGCCATTTTTTAATAAAACTGAGTGCCACATAAATATGCCATTTCTTTTATTTTAATAAGTAGGATTAACACATATTTAATATTGTTTAGAAAGTATATTGGATTTTAACTGAACAAAGTAAAACAGAATATAATTAGAATATCTCATAAAAACAATTATACATATATAATTACTTTTTACTGTCAATAATTACATTTTTTATTGAATTTTTAGGACTGTACAACATCAACAACAATTATAGTGGACATCACCGCGCAGGGTGTATTGAAAGAGATTTTACGTACCCAAATCTCTGAGCGTTGAGCTTAAATTAAATAAGAATTTAATTTTTGCGGGATAAGCAACGCAATTGTAAATAAATTATATATAAATATATAATTTAAATGTGAACTAAACTAATTAAAAAAAAAACTGAATTATTTTATATAAGTAAAATTGTTTATAAAGAATTTTTTATTTGAGCAAAAAATTTTAGTGTCTATTCTAAAACATTTCAATTTTACATATAATAAATAACATGAATGCTATAAATATAAAAATACATATAATTTATATTAAAAGAAAATAAAAATAAAAACCAAATATTATATTAAAAAAATATTTACGTTAATTGTAATGTAATCTAATTTATAAAAAATAAAAAATTTAATAGGTATTTAACTTAATGCTGAATAATCTATAAGAAAAAATTAGTTTTATTTATTTTGTATGCAAGGAATTTAAAAAATGTTCGTTTGAGTTCTACAAGAATCATATTTACATATATAAAAAATATAACTAAGGCAGCATACTGAAATACTCGTACATTTCACCAAACTCAATTGAAAGTGTTCAAAGCAAACAATCTGAAAGCATTTAATTTTATTGAATATTAAAATTATATCAACATATATATGTAATTATGTATCTGTACATACATATATATATGTAACAATTATAAGCAATGTTTATCAATAAACAAATTATTCCAAATATATGAAAACCATAGTATTAAAGCTCAAAACATCTGTAACAAACACTTCCATTTAAATGTTTAAAATATATTTATTAAAAAATTCCAAATTGTTTTTTAAGGTTTTTTTTTCATTAATACATTTTACATACATTTTTTATTTACAATTAAATTTCAAAAAAAAAAAAACTCTTAATTAAACAAATGCTAAATATAATAACCAACAACAACTGCAAACAAGGGATGTAAATAGTTGACAATACAAAATAAAATAAAAATAAACAAAAGGATTTATTATGCAAAACAACAAAACATATAAATTAAACATAAATTTTATTAAATTTATTTTATAAATTTTTTTTACTGAATTCGTAGCTCATTCATTGTGCATTCAGTTTCTTCTCTGATTTCCGATATAAACTTTTCTTTGCTGTGTTGGATAGGATAGACTACTTGTAAAGTAGAGGATCCATAAACATTCAAACCACAATTGTAATTTAATTAAAATAACTTATAGTTCTTTAAACTATAAATAAAATTTTTTAATAATTTTTTTTTCATATAAAATTTCAACTCAAATTCAAATATTGTTCTTAATTAAAAATAACACAAATTAATCATTTTTAATCAATATATATATAACTTAAATAGATATATATAGGTAGACTGTATAAATATATATCTATTATAAAGGAAATATTATTTTTATTTAATTTAACTTAAAGTTTTATTTAAAACTTCATATATGAACATTATTTCATGTTATCAAAATATCAATTCACTCATTTGCTGGCATCATTCGAAAGGGAATAATAAAGACATTTTAAGACAATACAACATACTTTTATTTACTATAAACAAAAATTTTTAAAAAAATTACTATTAAATAAGCAAAACTATTACGATTAAAATAAAAAGGATAACAAGTTTTAAAGGAATGAAGCAATAGCGCTTTTTTAAAATTTGAAATAATTTTTCTCTTCAATAAAAAATTTTTAACTAAACTGTTTTTTATATATTATATCTTTTTTAAATTTACGAAAGTTAAAAAAAGTATTATAAATTTACAAATTTAAATCAGATTAATATATTTTTGTTTCCATTATTAAAAGTATATATAAAAAATAAAAATGTCAACTCAAGTTTTAAAACAGCTTAAATTAGTATTTCCCGCCGTTAAAAAAAAAATAATAAATATTTTCTAATTTAATATTAACAGAAAAAAAATAAATTAAATTAAATTAAAGGTATATAAAAATTATATAATAATATTTCAAAAAGACTTTTAAAAATTCTTTACTATAAATTTTGAAACATTTTCTCTGAAATATTATAAGTAAAAATGTTAGATTTAAAAACACTCCAAAATAATATTATTTTTCTTTTTTGTTTTAATTGTAATATTAAAAATTCTTTTCATTTAAAAATACATTAGCTTTCTATATATAAAATTTATTTATTTATGTTGCTCTACAACATAGAAATTATAATTATTTATTTATTCAAAACTATCTAGTAATATTGAATAAATTAAATAATAAACAGTACGTTATAACTTTTTCTAATATTTTAAAACAATATCATTGTTTACTAATTAGTATAAAAATTTCACACAATTACCATAAATATATCAAATAATATTTATTTAAAACAAATTAAAATTATTACATACAAACAATAGTTTTTTAAAATGTAGGCAAATTTGAGTGTTAAATTAGATTATTTAATTTTTTATTTATTTTATTACAAATTTTTTATTTCCGATGTTTACTTCGAAAAGCTGTTTGATAGAGCGATAATCTCTTTTCGGAAAAGGAATCTTGTCATAACTTAGATATCTTTAATTAAATAATCTACATTTAAAATAAAAACAATATCTTGAAATTATTTTTTTGTTTTTGAAACTCAGTCAATGATATCATTGAAATTGTAATCAACTAGATCTAGATTTAATTATACTAGATACTAGATTATTTAATTATACTTTCTAATATTATTTAAAGAACTAATAGCCTATTCACACAGCACAAGTGATTGCAATTTTGAATTTAATTGTGCTAATTTGACTTATATTGTTAAAAACCGGTGCACATAGCCAATTTTAATTGTATTTTAAATTTGATTATAAAAGTTTGATTTTAATTTTTTAATACTATTTATTGGTTAAAGGCTTATGTTATGAAATGAAAAAACTACTGGTTTTTCATTTTCAATTCATTTTACGAAGTTATTATCTATATTAATAAATCGAATTTAATTCTGTGCAAATTACAATTCAATAATAATTTTAGTAGATGAATTTTTAAAAGAAATTGAGTTGTAATTTTTATGAATAGGCTATCGTTAATACACTATAGTTATTCCTTCTCCGATATTAATTTATATAATTATATATATATATATATATATATATATATATATATATATATATATATATTGAAACCAAATTTTAAATCTTAAAACAAACGTACTATAAATTTACAACTAAAATATTTAATATTGAATATTTTTAATGTCATAATATTTTATATATTTTCTAAATATTATTAAACTATTATCATCGTAATATTATAAATATTTAATATTAAATATTTTAAAACAAATTTTTATTGTGAGAGGCGGAGAATGGAAAATATTTATACGTATAATAAAAATAGAGAAAAGTACTGAATTGTTCAATTAAAATATACGTATGAATCCCCTTAAAAAATGAAAACATAAATAAATAATAATACTACATGTTTCTTTTAACTTTTAATATATATTGTATTAAAAGTATATATTTCAAATTATTTAAATGTAATTACTTTATAAATATGTGAAAGAGTGTTTTTAAATAAATTTCGAACTCATTCATTGTAATAACTTTTTTGATACATTTTACAAAATAAACTAAATTAAAAAAATCAATCTAATAAAATATACTAACTTCTCTAACAAATTATACTTAAATATAAATAATGGTGTCAATTTATAAAAATCGGATTTTTAATACTTTTTAGCTAAACTTAAAAATATTAAAATAACAACAACGACCAAAAATACTATTTTTCCAAAAGAAAAATTATAAAAAAATTATTCGCCGTAAATCTAAAACATTTTTTGTTTATTTGAAAATCGTTATATATATTTTAAGTAATTAAATTAAATAAAATAAAAATGTAGCAAAATTTGTTTTAAAATATTTTATATTCTAATTGACGAATAAAATAATTTTAAAATATTGAGTATATTTGAATAATAATGTCAAATAACTGAAAATTTAGTATTTTTGCAAAATGTTATTAATTTATTAGAGCAAATTTAACACATATTTAACAAAGTTTTTTTATTATTTAGAAGAATTTAAAAATATCTTAACAATATTAGAAACTTATATAGCATAAATTTTTGGCAAAGTAAACACGAAAAATTAAAACAAAATTAATATAAAAAACATTTTAGTAAATTCTACCATGACATAAATATAATAAAAAAAGTCAGTGACAGAAACATTTACAGGTATAAATATATTAAAATTAGAAAAATATAAATTAGTTAAATACGAAATATGAAATTCAAGATTTAATTTGTTAAACTAATTTTCACATAAATTATTTAGCATAAAATTTAAAATAATTTTAGAGTTTTTTAAAGAAACGTAAAATTCTTTTCAATTCTAAATTAGCTGGTACGCTTCAAGAATATGTTTTAAAAATCTTATTTTATTAAATATGTAAAATTGTTTTGTTGAAAGATATTTACAACATAATATTAATTTAATTACATATTATTTATATTTTTATTTTAAAATTTTCTGCGACCACTTACGCTATGTGGTGAAAAAATATAACTATGTTTTTTTTTATAAAGAGGTTCTCAAAAAATAGTGAACTACAACAACAAAAATTCATTTTTATATTATTTTAATTAATTGGATTTTTGGCTAACCATACAGCGTTTCGAGTATTTCCAAATACTCAACATCAGTGGTCTTGGAAACAATTTTTTTTTTCAGAATTATTTATATTAACTCAAAGTTTTTGGCATACTAGAATTTAAATTTTAAATAAATTCTTATATTTGGCACGCAGCTATATAAAGGTTTGCCACTGTTGATGTAGTTATATGGTGTAGGAATCCAGCTATTTAATTCATTAGAAAAAAAATGATATTAAATTGAAATATTTTATTGACAAAAAAAAAATCATTTACCAAACTTAAATCACATATCTATTGAATATCAATCCAATGAACCAATAGGTAGACTACCAGTACCAGTAAAATCTTACATTACATGTGCTAAGATACGAGTACTTTTCTCGAAATTTAAGAATGTTTTCAATCTCAAATATTTTTTTTTTTTTTTTCTTATATAAAAAGTTAAGCTACAAAATATGCTTTTTTTTAATTTTTACTTAATCATTTCTAAAACAATTATATACTTAAATAAATGTTTGACAAATTTTAAAAATTTAAAAATAAAAATGAAGAGTTTTTAAATATTAAATAGCAGCTACAGAATCTAAAATAAATACAAAATTTTTAAATAAAAAATATTAAAAAACGAAATATTAAATTATTGAAATTTCTATTGTACATGTTTTTAACTAAAATGAAACTTATTGAAGCAGTTACAGTAAATATATATTAAATACTACCAAAATATTATAACTACAACGTGTGTGTGACTTTGTGTTTATAGATAAAGATAATAAAGGCATGGTAACATACATACTCAAATACTGGATATACTATATATTTCCAATAAACATACATACATTAGCACTGTGCAGCATAACCGTAAAATATTAGTAGAAATATTATAGTTAAATACATAAATAAATACTATTATTATGTATGTAATGTAAACTGAAAAGAGGTAAAATATGTTGAGTGTTTGTGAATGTGAATAAACGTATAGAAAAATAAATTATTAATTAAACAATATAAACCAATTATTATAATTAATATTTAAAGTAAATCGAAATTAATTACAAATTTTTTATATTATTTAAAATAGTAAAATTAAGGAAATTGAAGCAAGTAAGTGTCGCACACTTGTAAATTAATTCCGAATTTCAAGAATATGAAAATTAAGTCCATTATTAAAATTAAAACTAATGCGATAATTTCTGTTATCCTGAGAAATATTTAGTTACTTATGTGAAGGACAGCAGTTGTTAAAAGAGATATTATTATATGAAAAAATTTTGCAAAACGTATTAAATGTAATCATTTTGCATTAATTTTGAAATCAAATTCAAATATGATTATTATTATCAATATGCGAGAAACTCGTACAACTAAAGTTAAATCACACAATTTAAATATACATTCAAATAAATTAATATTAATTAATTTTAATATGGGAGATAAATAAAACAGATAAATGCTTAGCTTTGTGTTAAATTGCTGTTAAATGTATAAGTACCATGAATACGATATGATAAAATGATATAAACTTAATATAATAAAATATTAAACAAAAATATTAAGTAGTTTTTTATTTTATATGAACAAATTAGAATGTTTTCTACTTGTTTTATTAATTAAAATTCCAACGGTTGTCACTCGCTGCTTTGCTTATCAATGCATACAGAAGTCAATATTCACATGCAGTTACAGTGGTGGCGAAAAAGTTAGTTTAACATAAAATATATAGGGTGTTTTTTAAGCTGCATGAGAACTATCGATATCGATAATGATGGTTTGACAGCTGAAAATGTTAAACTGTGTTGACATTTCTTTTCAGAAAGGTTTGGCTATTCATTATGAATCGTTTAATGCTAGAACAACGCTTCCAAATTGAAGAAATTTTTTTTGAAAAAATTATATATAAAAATTAAATACTTAAGTAAGAGCTTATTAAGCAAAACTGCAGCCGATTCTACTAATTTATTTATTTTTATTTATTTTATTTTAAGAGAATTAGCAACCATTCTGCTAACACGATTTCTTCGCTAAATTAATCCGGTAACATGAATGATGCTGAAAAGCATTTAAGATGCATTTAGCAATTGCGAAATTTAAATGAAAATTAAGTTAAAACAATATTAGTTTGTTGATTAATTAAATAATAGACTATTTTTACTATTCAGATATTTTTAAATAACTGAAAATTAAATTGGTGTTCGGCATTGATGTTCTCACCAAATTTTATACAAAGATATTCCATTAAAATCTATGTAAAGAGCGTAATTTGGTACTTTATTTGTTTTACGCTCTCAGTTTGTACTTTACTGTGTTTTACTTGAGATTTACTACTTGTAGCTCGTGGAAGAGACCTAATATCGACGGTAATTTGTTATAATCATAAATTTTGTTCACTGTGTCACTTACAACTTACTGTTTTTTGCTACATTTTTACGTGATCAGAAAAAAAAAATACGTAACTGACAAAAATAGTTGATAAATACCCAATTATAACCATAAATAGCGCACAATTATTTACCTTTTATACTTTCAACACATATGTTTAGTTTTGCTGACTGTCAAATACACTCTCACTATGTTACTGCCACAAATATGTCGGAATATTAATAATTATTTTTTTTACATTTTACTTAAAATGCAAATTTGCTTCTATCACAATTTTGATTACTGGATAAATACGTACAAAGTAATTTATCAGTTTGTATAAAAAATAACAATTTCACTTTTAGCGACAGTAAAAATCTACCGCCAAAAAAAATCAATTGAATAGCAATTTTAATCATATTTACCGATAATTGGGGATTGTCAATTTAACGGAATGCTACAGGATTTTATATGGAGCAATCAGCTGTTTTTGAAAATTGATTAAATTAGCGAAGAAAAATTAAGCATGAAGAATTAGCAGAATCGCAGAAGTCTCTAAAATGAATTTAAAGAATTTTAGCGATGGAGTTTTAGCGATAGCAATTAGCAGAATTGGTCTGCTGGTTGGGCTTAAGATGCAAGCATCTATGAGTGGCATTACAGCTAAATAATTTATTTTAGTTACGGATACGAGAACTTATAAAATATAACAATTAGCCTTTGCACAATGTTTAGCTAGTTTACGAAAAAATAGTTAATGGGAAATTAAATTAAGAAGCAAATTTATAAAAGAAAAAACAAATTGTTTTTCGTTTATTCCTCTCTTTCCCTTTTTACTGAGATAGAAAGTTAAAATAGTAGAGTTATTCTACTAAAACAAGACTACACTCTTTTTAAAATCTGTTTCAAAATATTATGCGATAATACCCAATATTTCTAATAGGTTTTTTTTCATTTCTTAACTAAAACTAAATATATAATTTCTTTTGATGTTTTGGCAACTCTAACACCGCTCAGCATTAGGCACCCACAGCTGCTGTTGACATATGATAAAATTGCAAAATAAATCTGCAATAATTTTAGAGCAAAGTGAGCGGAAAATTTTGGTCGTTGTGTTGTTCAAAAATCTTATGCATAAAAATACAAAAATAGCATTTAAGTAAAATATACAAGTTCATTCCGTTTAAAATATAAAACGCAACGAACGTGAATTTGCAGTTAAGTTGAACAACAGGTGCAATGAGTGAAAAATACCAAATAACAAATTGGAGTCCATTTGTGTACGGTGGTCTAGCATCTATTACAGCTGAATTTGGTAATTTGTAATACAAACGATTTTAAACAGAATCAAAACTTACTAGTAATTTTGTGAATAATTTACAACTACGTTCAACAATTTATTTTAATTTATTGCTTACATACGCTTGACAGGTACTTTTCCAATTGACACCGCAAAAACGAGGCTACAAATTCAAGGTCAGAAAATCGACCAAACATTTTCAAAGCTGCGGTATAGGGGCATGACAGATGCGTTCATAAAAATATCAAACGAGGAAGGACTGCGAGCACTCTATTCTGGGTATGTCAGTATGTTATAGAAGGGAAATTGTTATTAACAAAGTTTTGCATTACATTATTTGACATTTAACATCAGTATATACATACATAAACAATGATATTTTTAGCTAAGAATGCCCTCAAAATTTCTTACAAAATATGCCTAATTTTGGTTGATTTTTGTATATGTGTATTATTTGCTTATTTTGCAATATTATTTAGTATTTAAGTTTTTTTAATATTAATTTTTTTATTTAAATATATATATATAGCTTGTCTTGTTTGGAGATATGTACATTTGTTTGTATGAACTAAAATGTAAATTGTAGTTTTATTTGGTTTCCGATAAAAATGTTATCCGTTTTATAACAATTAGTCTCATTCTACTAATAAAAAGTTTCCGCCATATACGTATATATATATATATAAATGTATATATCTACGTACATATTAAATTATTAACATATAAATAAGCAAAAGCTACAATTTTGCGGCTTTAGCGTTTTTTTTATTTGCAAACTAACATAAACAAAAATAAACACGTTATCATTTATGTCAATTTTAATATAATTTTGCAAAGTAAGGAAAATTTTCTGTTAATGTAAAGATTTTTTCTTAATATTAAAAGTATGTATAATAGAAAATAATAATTCTTAATATAAACAATTTATAAATAAAATGGATTCAATACGCAGCGATAAATGCACGTGCTCACGTGATTTTATTTTTTATAAATAATTAGAGCACAGATAAGCCTGTTTATGAAGTGATTTAATTATTTTATAGAATTCCTTGTAATATTTATTTATGTACATTTATATTTATATTGTTATGCATACTTATAAGTATTTTACATGAGTTAAAAAGAAATCAGCGAATATATTAAATTAAAATTACTTAAATAACAATTGGCAGATGGATGAGTAGGCAGGCATATATTTAAATGTAATTAAGTTTTATCACGTGTACATTTTTTTGCAATTAAATAATTAGCTATAATAATTAGAAAATTAAATAAGTTTTATATAAATAGTTTTATACAACTCGTGCCCTTTTACAAAACCATTTGTTTGACAAGTAGTTACTAATAATTAGAGCGCAGATAAGCCTGTTTATAAACTGATATAATAATGTTCTAAAGAATTCCTTGTATTATGTATATATGTACGTATATATTTGTATTATTGTATATATTTATATTATTGTATATATTTATATTATTCAGTGAATATATTAAATTAAAATTACTTTAATAACAACAAATGGCGTAAGTATAATGAGTAATTTTTATCACATGTATATTTTTTTACATTAAAAAATTAGGTATAATAATTAGAAATACGTTTTGTTATAATTAGTTTTATACAATGCATGACATTTTACAAAAGCATTTGTTTGACGAATAGTTACTAATAAAAACTAATTAGAAAAACAACTTTCGTTGCTGTCAGTTTTGTTTACGCGTGATACCTCAAATAAACACGTTTTTTAATAAAAAGTCTAAAAAAATTGAACGAACAAAGTACATCGTTAAACGACAGTTATTAATAATTACTAATCGCGTACAACTGTGTCTGATATATATTTTTAGAATATGGCCTGCTGTACTCAGACAAGCTACTTATGGTACTATCAAATTCGGTACATATTATACACTGAAAAAATATGCAAGTCAACGTGGATTACTAATAGATAGCGAAACGGGCACAGAAAGAGTTTGGGGAAATATACTTTGCGCCGCTGCTGCGGGAACGATATCATCCGCTATCGCAAATCCCACTGATGTACTCAAAGTTCGAATGCAAGTACACGGGAAGGGTTCAGAAAATAAAGGATTATTTCAGTGCTTTAATGAGATATACAGATATGAAGGCGTACGTGGTCTATGGCGAGGAGTTGGTCCTACATCACAGCGTGCTGTTGTGATTGCAGCTGTAGAACTACCCGTTTATGATTTTTGTAAATTACAACTAATGAATACTTTTGGTGATCACGTAGCGAATCATTTTATGTGAGTTCAGAGAGTGCTAAACTTATAAAAACTGTGAAAATAATTTGTTATTTATTTACTATTTTTAGCTCAAGTTTTATAGCAAGTTTAGGTAGTGCAATTGCATCTACACCTATAGATGTAATACGGGTAAATTGTCAAATTGAATGTTTATTTTTCATTTTTAAAATGCCTTAATATATTCCAGACAAGACTTATGAATCAAAAACACCTTACAGTACAGAATAGTGTTGCCACAACAACAACTCAAAAACTTTACACAGGTAGTTTCGATTGTGCGGTGCAAGTAAGTGAAGAATATATTAGACATTTTACAATTACTATCAAAGCATATCAACTCTTGTTTTATTTTTAGACGGTGCGAAACGAAGGTTTGCTTGCGCTCTATAAAGGATTTATTCCAACGTGGGTGCGTATGGGTCCTTGGAATATAATATTTTTTATTACCTACGAACAACTCAAGAAACTTTAATTTTAAATAAAATTATTTAAGTATTTTAGTTAAAAACCAAATTTAATGTTAAGCTTATGTTAACTGAAATGATTATTTAAGGTTGTAAATTAGTAGAAATTAATTTGAAACGCTTAAATCTAGCTATAAAGAAAACTTATTACCAATGACTGTCGGAATAATTTATAGAGAAAAACACACTGTATTAAACTGTATATATTTAGTATTATATAAGACAAAAATATTTTTGTAGGTATGACATATATGCAGCTGTTATGTGAAATGTTTAATATAAACTAACCGATAATTTTTTGATATAAAATCTTGTGAAAAAGTTATACTTAAAGTAAATACTTATCTATAAGATTATTATTGAAGTATTAATGTTTTAAGAGTATATAATTGAAATTACTTGCTTTTATGTCTGCATTTTATGATTTTTGAAAAATCCTACTTATGTTTATTAAACTTTAATCAAAATTTTGCATTTTATCATTTTTATAAAAAATTCTCGCGAGCTTAAATTCTTTATAATATGTATCGCAAATCGAAATAAAATTTTAAATTTCTTGATGAGTATTGCGAGAATTTTATTTTCATAAAAAATAAAAATTATTTTAAATAAACTTTTTTGTTTTTTGATTTTAAGATTATAATATATATAAATTTAATATTAATATAAATGAAACTTTTTGTGTTGCATAGTTATATTTTAATAGATAAATTCTCTATATAAAGTTATATGTATTCTCTAGCATGAACAATAGCACAAATTTGTGTATATGTTATGTTTTACATAATTGTTAAGAAAAACTCTGATGTTTACATAGTACAAAACTATTGTAAAAAATTTTAGTTATAGATTATTCACAAGACAAAAGATACTCAAGATCCAGGGATCTTAATGATTAAAATGAGCAATCAGCTATTTGAGACAAACGTGAATATAAAAAACTAATTTAATTTGAAAAATTATATTGAATACGAAAATGCTTTAGAAATTTTATAAGATCATAAAGTATAATAAAAAATACAAATATTTCCCGTAAAAAGATTTCAATACGGCAAACAAAAGAAAACTAACTTGTGTCGCATGAATAGTCTTTTAAGGTTTATTAAATATATTACAAAATCCCATATAATTTACTTAAGTGGTTTGTATTGAATGTGAATTGAAAAACAATTCTGTTTAGCCTATAAATATACTATATGAAATTAATGTTAGAAATGTATTTTAAAAATATGTTATTTATTTTGTTAACTAGAGAAAAACTTTATGCAAAGATCGTATAATAATACGATTTTTATTTATGAATAAATAAATTAAAGTTCCAATAAAGGGGCTCTTCTAAGTCTTATGTTATATATTTATTACTGCTACAGACAGAACAAAAATGTAATAAGTGATGAAGTGACTCATATCTTACGATTTTTATTTCATATTTAAGTTAAAATTCGTTAAATAATAATGTGATTATTACTTTTGTTTCTATTTTTTAATTAAATATTGAGTAAGTTTTTACCGGGACTAGTAATAAAAATCGGATGTCCTTTGGAAAATAGTGCAGCAATTCCCAAAGGCACTAGATACTCATGAGTACGGTTACACAAATGAATTTGAGTATCATATTTTTTGGTAAAATAAGATTATAAATAATTGAATCACAAATATTTAATCAACACTTTAGTGATTAGTTTAGTGAAAATGGTCTGTTCTGACTTTAAGTGTAGAACATTTTTTGCTTAGCACACTAAAACGTATCAAAGCGTTCCAATGTCATCGATCAAATATTGTTATATTGTAGGAAGCATTTGGTACGAGATTAGAAGAGATGAACTTTGCATTAATTATGTGTCACCGAAAGATATTCTACAAGAACAAGATGAATGAAAGTTATGTTTGAAGGAAAATTTCAAAGATAGAAAATTGTTAGAATATGTAACCCAAATTGGTTCTTTTTAATAATGCGTGTTTGGAATTCATTGAGTGCGTATTCATTTTAAATTACTTATCTTATTTTAAAAGTATCTGAAGAATAAGGGTTTAAGAACAGTGTTTCTCAACCTAAAACGTACTGTGGATGGAAAAATATCCATTCTATTTTACAAGTTACTAATATCTTCACCAAAAATATTGTTAAAAGCCAATATATAACATTTAATTAGCGGTGGTAAAGGAGCGGGTCAGCATTTTATGGATGTTGCCTGCTTTAGAGAATATGGGACTCTTATAATAACTGGAATTTTTTATAAATAAAATTCATTGTTAAAAAACTGTTCAAACTGTTTGCTAAATCTACGGTATGGTACATATGCTATCTACTGTTTCTATTGTTTGGAAGAATTACTTTACTAGTTTTTTTTTCAATAAAATAAAAACAAGGGAAAAAACGTAAAGAAAAAAATTTTATTTCACACTAAAATCCAATCACTTAAAAGTATCCTTTGAAGTTAAGCGATGTTTTATTCATTGTCTGAATTCTATATAATATGTAATCTATTATAATATAATTAGTTCTTGAAATTACAAAACAAAAAATCATTAAACAATAAGGTGAAAAATAATTCTCAAAGCAATTTAAAATAGCCTCTGGCTAGAAGATGCCAAATTGAGCTATAATTACTTGTATCTGAAGTATTTGTAATTGAATTGAAGTATTGGAACACAAAGTAGCCTGTGGTGGGCAATTGAAAAACTATTTTTTTATAATTAAAATCCATATTTTTTTTTATCATTAAATTTTAAATTAATTTTTTCGCAATATTTAAATTTTGTCAAGTCATGGTTCAATTTGAATAGAAGCAATATTTTGAGGAGTCAAGCACGATGTCCATTATTTCGAGCTTATTTCGGTAAACCTCTAAAAAAGTTGTTTTGTCTGTAATTGAAATTTAATAACTTTTTTATTTGCAATTGTTATAAGCACTCTCGGATATGAAGTACCTAAAAAATAATTATAAATTAATTATTATTTAAATAGAATTTAAAATATATTCAGAGAAAATAAATTTTTTATGTAATTTAAAAAAGTTTAAATCAAAAAGTATTAACCAATATGGCTATCTTGACTTATAAAGGTAATGGTTATGTTACTAATGAAGTAACAGAGGAGCTGAATAGCTGAAATAAAGTTGACGTTAAGGGTATAATAACTTCTGCTATTTAGTTTCATTTATGTAGCGTTTAACATAATAAAAAAGTAGCAGAAAGAAACAAACGATTAGAAAAAAAACAATTAACAACTAATAGACCAACCACACATTCGTCTATTAGATTATTTTGACAATTGCGAAGAGGTCATAAGAGTTTTGGCGCTTAAGAGGATGTACTGGTACCGTACTGATACTGCCAGTTTACTCGCTTTAGTGTAAGTGTGACAATTGGTCTCGATATGTGCAGATTGACAATTCAAAGAATTTCTTCATATATAATTTTTATTTCAAGGTTATGATGTAGGTCAAAATTTCTCAAGGGATGTAGGTCAAAATTTCAATTTGCATTTATTATACCACCATAGCACGATATTTTACAATTTTTGGATAGTAGTAATTTAAGCTGAGTGCCGACCATTCAAATAGGTTTATATATAAGAAGTTTATTAGATAGTTATTTCATAGATTATTATTTTAAAACTAGTTCATTTCTTTTCACGTTGATGTGCTGATTCTATCTTAATTTAGTACCTAGATTTATAACTATATATATTGCAGTACTCGCACATACCTGATGTTTCGATTATTATAAATAAAAAGCACTGGCTTTGAATTGTTGGGTTTCATTTTCAAATTCTTATCCAGTGAATTATGTTATTAATAGCAGTTTGTAAGTAAATAGCTATCGCCGATGGCAATTAAGGCAGTTTCAAAAGCAAATAACACCGTTAGTTCTGTTCGGGCTTGTTGCTAATATTATACAAACTTGCATTAAAGCATAGATATGAGTCCTATCGTAACTCAATACAGGCTGTGCCAGTGTCACCTTAACCTTATCCTTATTTTATATATTCAAAATTTCAAGTCCAAACGATATTTATAATGGATTATAATATACGATAAAAGGAGACTAAAATCAAAATTTGTCTCCTAACAAACCTTATACCACACATATATGTGCTTTTCTTCATGAATTGAAAAATAAGCCCAATCACTGAAGATAATATAAGTTAATATATATATATATATATTATATATATAATATATATATATGTGTTTACCATGTAATGGATAAATTTCAATCTTTTTAACTAACTAACAGCAGTAATATTGTTAGACGAGCTTGAATTTTATTGATGGTTAAGCCTCAGCACATCTGTTACAAATCCATTGCATTGGATGAGTTGTGTTCAATATATATTACTAAATAGGAACTATGTCATCAGAACTATGATATACCCTTTATGAAAAATTACTGTATATCCCTTATACAAACAATAATAAAAAATATATATTAGGTTTGTTAAGATTTTTACATTGAAGGAAACCTCATAAGACCCATAAGGGTTAAAATTTTGTATAAACAGTTTCTTAGCTTAAGTTTTGGTAATTTGTAGTAGTAATTATTCTTTCTGTATATCATTTATCAACATATTATTATAATCTTTGCTGAATCATCCAATTTCGTATCGCAATGTCATTCACCACCCACATATTGTGACCGAAGGTCCAATAATGTAGGTATTCGAATGACAGTTTTATTCAATGAAAAATTAATAGAATTTCTATTAATTTTTTCAAGGCAAATTCTACGTCTTGAATGTGAGTTGTTTAAATTCAAGAAGTTGTTGGCAAAATTATGTTTAAGAATATTATTTATTTTTAAGCTTTAAATTAAAACTTTGTTATTAAAGGTAAAAACAATAAATCTATTGACAAGTTATATAATATGAAATTTTTTTCAAATAGAAAATAGGTAATAGCGAGTTAATTTTAAAATACAAAATTTAAATATTTAATTAAATGAGTTTTTAGGCTGACCACAAGCCTGTAACTAGGTCTAGATTGAGTGGCTAAAATCACCCATCAAATGAATTGAAGGACTATATCTGACTGAAGAAACTAAATTATTAATATAAACTCTTATTTTCAATAGAGAGATGTTTTGAACAGTAGTAAATTACAACAATAAAATTTTTTATTATTTATTAATTAATTGAATTTTTAGCTGAACATACCAGTTGTTTCGGATATTACCAAATATCCATCATCAGTAGTCTTTGAATTATTTCTTGTACGTAATTATTTGTAAATAATTTTTTTAAACTGCAAGTACTAAGAGTTGAACACATGACCTGCCAAATTTGAAACACAGAGTCAGTGTTCATTATCCAACTGACCCAAAGCCGTACTTGGCTTGTATT